TCTTGTTTAGGCTGGTCTTATCCATGACTGAACTTCTAAACATCCAGACCACTGATGGGTTTTAAAGGACAGGTAACAGAGGGAATATAATGGCAAAGTGTCTGATCTACTCAACATAAAGGATGTGTTGTAGAATGACAGGACACTTTGTACAGGTGTCTTTCAGTTTTTAACAATATGCTGTAGCAGCAGATATCCTCTACAGTGGAAATCTGCGATTACTAAAGAGCTATTGACCGCAGACGAGTCATAAAGGAAGTACAGCCATCTTCTATTGCTATATCTATAGCTGAGTGTCATCACAATCAAGCTTTTAAAGAGCTTATGAATGATTAGCAAACACACTGGTTGCATCTTTGGTACTGTAAACCTCTACCAATGCGTCTGTTTGGAGAACAGCTTAGATGACAAAACCACAAACTGCCCACTCTAAATGCTAAATGGTCTGTGCTAATATAACGCTTTATCAACTTTGATGACCATAAGGCACTTTACACTGTATTCAGTCATCCTTGCAAACATTCACATCCTGATAGTGTTAAGATGCATTATAGCCATGCATGCCCTAGACTGACAGAGGCGAGGATGCAATACATCAGGGCAGAACCATGAGCTCTGATCACCTACAGCACAGCAGCCAAGAAAGCTAATAGTGGGAGCTCAAACCAATACTCCACCGGTTAGAGGACAAACCTTCCATGGCTCCAGGATAGACCTAAATAACTTGCATCTCACCACCATTAGGAATGGCATTTGTGACTTACTGATAGCTTAGACCTTAGTTTTGGCAAAAACTAAAGTCTGACACCAACAGTTGAGGCCCCACATTCCAGCCTTCAAAGTCAAAGTATACCTATTCCTACATTTCTCATGTACAATGCATTCATTTCCATACTGCCTCGGCATCATGGGTTTGCTCTTTAGCTATGCAGAAACAAAAGACTAGATAGGTGCCTAGTGCCGTTTCTTATCCCATCTCTCAGTGTGTAGGGGGAGAAAAGAGGCGAAAGAGGAGGGATGCATGGTTTCTGGTGCAAAAATACTTGTTCCTGCTGAGAAGCAGTTTTCCACGGAGCAGTGTAGCGAGACACAATGGATGCAGTCATTAGAATTTTGCCTTTTGAGCCCCTGTCCACACAAAGTCCGAATCGAGTGGGCTCTGACCCTTCATGTGGGAAAGATTAAATGGCGTAGCCAGCATATCACGAAGTGTAACGGAGACTGAATAGCTACCCTGTATTTAAGGTACAAAGATCTCAACTGTTGAATTAAAACATCAGTGTAGAATGTGAGGGCACTCCAATGCTTTAAAATTACTCCAATTTCTAAACAGACCACATCAAGGGAGCATTGTTGTCTCCCAAGCTTAGCTTTATTACTATCATTAAAAGGATAGATGCCATCATGCTATATTATGGGTTCTGCAATGCCATTAGTGACAAACGTTTAAGCCACCATGTTAGCTGCTACTTCTATTGTGGCATCAATGTTATTGAGCAAGATATAAAGTAACTTTGTGGTAGTGATGCACAAAATCCAGATTCGGGCTTAGGGACGTTGTTGATGGTAGTCTCTGGGAGTGTCTTTCAAAAAGTAGATCCCCAATATATCCCTCACATACCTTGAATAAAAGCAGGAGGTAAAACTACTAACATTAGCTAATGCTACGTTCACACTAAAAGCAGCAGGTTTTGTTGTGAACGTAGCATTGTTTTGACATTTTAAGTAAATTTAGGCTTTGATAAACTGTTTCAGAGGAGTGATCAGAATGATCTGTATCATCAGTGCTGTGTCTGTCTCCCTTCCAGCTCTCAGATCAGCTTCTCTGACTAGTTGATGTGGCGCGTTGAGCAGCAAAAGTTCAATTTTTCCAAATCCAGCAGCAGCGTTTGGAGCGTGTCCTGTGCATCAGCTGCTCAGACGCGCTGCACCTGCTGCTCAAAACGGGCTGCGGGACCTTTGGCTGCTCCTTGATGCACGTCAACCATTGACTTTGCATGTTATGCTACGCTTACACCAAAAGCAGCAAGAGCATCAAAAATGCATGTGCTGCTTGATGTTTGATGCTTGTACAAGTTTACTTCTGATGCGCGGCTTAAGCATCTTTGCTGCTCCAGCTGCGCAGTCAAAAGTGGTCCTTTCTTTGCCTGGCAGCTATATATGCTGTCATCAGTGGGAATAAAATAGTTTTAATATGTTTTTAAGTGAGAAAATCCACCTGAAAACTTAATCTGTGCAGTCAGTTCATCCAGATTACCATCCTGCCTTCAAATATTCATTCTCTGTCAGAGCCTCTCAGACCCCCACATACCGGCGATGCCGGTTTGCCGCGGCAGCTGGAAGGTGGTTTACATGTACGTAATCCAAACGGCAGGCACCAGGATAATAAAAGCGAACATGTTTTGCCGGCAGATTTTGGCATTTTAAGTTAATTTAGCCGGTAATAAACTGTTTTAGTGGAGTGATCATAGTGATTTGTATCATCAGCGATGTGCGTCTCTCTCTGCCAGTTCCCATATCAGCTTTTCTGATTGGTTGATGCGGCGCATCAAGCAGCAAAAATTACATTTTTCCAACTCGAGCAACAGCTGCGTTTGCAGCGAGGCACGCAAGTCAGATGCTCAAACGCTCACGACGCACTGGTTCAGCTGCTCAGACGCGCTGCGGGACGTTTTGCTGCGCCTTGACGGGCGTCAACCATTGACTTTGCATTTAAACTAGCTGCTCCTGCTGCTCCTGCTGCGTTTGGTGTGAACATAGCATAAACTAGCTGCTCCTGCTGCCTTTGGTGGTTGCGTTCTGAATGTAGTATTAGCACCACAGCAATGTTTCTTGGATGTAAAAACCAAAGCAAAAAAACCTGAGACACTGATGAATATTTTGAGTTGGGGAGAAAAGCAGTTTCCGGTGTTATAAAAAAAAATTCTCTATGAACTCAGGGAACTCTAGGTGGAGTGGCGGCCTGGTGGTTAGGGCATAGTGCTTGGAATCCTGAGCTTCTGATTTCGAACCCCACTCCCACAGACTGCCAGTCAATGTCTCTGAGTAAAACCTTTAACCCCACACTGCTCCCTGGGCATGGGATGGGTTAAATGCAGAGAGTTAATTTCGTTGCTCTGTACTTGTAACAGTAGAATGAATATAAAGAGCCAAAAAAAGGGTAACCTCAGGGTAATGGTAACCCTCCACCCCCCCAACAAAACTGTAAAGTCAGGACTATAGAAATGTAAAGAGACTAGAGCTTTTGGATTGTCGTTGGTGGGTAAATTGGAATACTATTGTACTGTAGGTATAGAAAAGCACTGTAAAGTGACAAGGTTCTTAAGCAAAAACAGAGAATTTGAAGATCTAGCCTTGATTAAGAGGACTGCTGCATTTTACTTGATATGTAGATGACCCTAATGCTGTCTATGTGTCTATGGGCAGCATCTAGCATCTAATAGAACGTCACTGGGACCAACTGAGACGTCAGCTGTGACTCAGTGCCCATCTGCTGGATCTTGACTGTCAATTACAACAGCTAAAGGCTGACTCAGTCCTGCATTAAACTGCTATGTATATCCAGGCTGGAAGCGGCTTTGGACCCTACTGATAGCAGAACACCTGCACCACCAAAGCTATCGTCCATCTGACCTGATATTATATTAGATGCTTTTAGACTGTATTTTATGTCCACATTGAGTTTAGCGCTTGATTCTTTTGTCAGTAAAAATATAATACATTTCTCTTAGCCATTCTTCATGAACCTCCTTTAATAGATATTTCATTCAAGCAATGATAC